CCAGGGGGTGCCCCCGCCCGGGCCCCATCCCCTGCCCACTCCCTCAGCCAACCTGAACACCCCCGAGCCCTGCCAACTCTCCCAGCCCCTGCCCTCCCCGCAAAGGCTGCCCCAGCTCCCGGTTCTTAAAAAAAAGAAAAAAAGGAGAAGAAAAAGACCTGCTACTGCACCAGCCATTAGGGCCTCTGAAGGCTTGTAGCAGAGCCCTCCCATGCAGCATGGGGCAGTGGGGGGGCAACAGGGACAGGCCCCCGCCACCTGGCAGCACCCAGTGTGCGGGGGCTTTTTTTTTTCTCTTTTTCCAAGAGCCGGGAGCTGGGGCCAGGCACAGTAGCCATGCAGGGGGCTTGGAAAATGGGTGGGGGATGGGGGTTCATGACAGAGCCCCACCATGCAGCACAGGGCAGTGGCAGGCAGCGGGGATTGTCTCCCCCCACCATACCTGGCAGCAGCTGGTGAGTGCCTGGGCTCTTTATTTTTAAAAAGCCGGGAAGTTGGGACCAGGTGAGACAGCCACTGACAGGGCTGGGACAGTGGGTAGGGGATGGGGCCTTTTTGATTCAGAGATTTAGTGGCAGCTGAAACTCTGAATCAGATTCAGCCGAATCGATTTGGGACAGTGATTCAAATCACCAAATAGAATCACTGTCCCAACAATCAGCCAAATCTGAAGGGAATACTAGCCGCTTCACACAGGCCTAATATACAATGTCATTGAACAGCTCAACCTTGCCCCCCCTGTCTATCACTATTTGCTCCTTTTGTTCAGTAGGGGTCCTATGCTGCCCTGCGCCTTCCTTTTACTTCCTACATACCTAAAAAAAGACTTTTTATTGTTTTGAATTTGTGTTGCCAGCCCCAGCTCTGTACTTGCTTTGGCTTTTCTAACTGCCTCCTTGGAAGTACAGGCCAAGTAGATATACTCCTCCTTGGTAGCTTCCCCTTGCTTCCAACACCTATATGACTTCTCTTTTGCCCTTAGGCTCCCCTGGATTCCCCTGTTTAGCCAAGGAAGTTTTTTGGCTTCTTTCCCCCTTTTCCCTCGTATTGGGATAGTCTCCCTTTGTGCCCGAAGGATTGCTTCCTTTAGGAACGACCACCCTTCCTGGACTCTCATCTCGCCAATACTCTTCTCCTGCAGTGCGTCATTGACTAGACTCCTAAGCACACTGAAGTTAGCCTTCCTAAAGTCAAGCACTTCCACCCTACTGGTTATCTTACCCATCCTACGCTGTAAGCTGAATTTGATTGATTGGTGGTCACTGGTCCCAAGGTGACCACGAATCTGCCTACCAGGTTCTCCCCCGTACCCAACACCAAGTCCAGAAAGGCATTGCCCCTAGTGGGACTGTATACCTCCTGCATTAGGTGGAGGTCCTCCATGCAGGTTAAGAACCTATATGAATGGTTGGATTTGGCTGTCTGCTTCTCCCAGCACATGTCAGGGTACTTTAGGTCCTCCATGACAACAACATCCGTAGACTGTACTGCCTCTGAGAGCTGTCTCAAGAATCCAAAGTCTAGCTTTTCCTCTCGGTGGTCTTTTATTACACGTGACACATACCAAAAATAAAATTTGGTATAGTGTCACATTCTGCTTTCTCAGCTAAATGGGAGCAAGGGACCAGGGTCTGGCCCCTCACCCCCACAACACTACTTTCCCCACCACCGCAATGAGGGGTTGGGGGAAGGGGAGGGTTGAATTTATGACAACCATCCACTAATTAGATTTATACTTTTCTATCTTTAGAATCTAATTACTGGAGGAGGTTGTCTTAAATCCAAAGTTACCTTGGACTCAGGTAAATATGGCAATTTTTCAGCTAAGTAAGAAGTTAGGAATTTACAAGTAATCCTAAACTATGTGATACATTTAGCTAATGCATAAGCAGCCACTTAAATAAGAGCTACATTATACTAAAGAGCTATGTTCCAAAATCTGAATTAAAATGACCCTGAACAGTTTTTAGAATGTATATTGCTATTATATAAATTCACATAGCTTAAATGAGGTCTTCTTCATATACCTATATCAGTCAGTTATTATCCAAACTAATTTCAATTTGTTCCAAGGTATGGTTAAAGAACTTGTTTATAACATGAAAACCTGGGGATTCAACTCCCAAGTATATATTCAACTCAGGTATTTTGATAGGAAAGGATAAACATTTTAATGCTTATGCAGTTCCATGTAGTTCGTTTGTTCCGTAAAACAACTCCTTACATAGTCTACAGTAGTTTACATGACAATATAGAATGTATTTACAGTAAATTTATCACTTTAATGGGAACAGCTTAATAAACCATTTTTTAATTTATGGCAGCATATTACTTATGACATTATTTATGGCACTGATTACATAGTTATTTTGGTTTGGATTGTAATTTAGGACCACCAGCTACAAGATACAAGTACAAACTTAACTATAAACCAATAAGCAGCCCATCACCAGAGTATAAGTAAATGTATGTACTTACAAACAGATCTTTATCTGCATCAGAGCTGTTCAACTCCTAAGCACCTGGAGGCCATATACCCTATGGTAGGAGTAGGCAACACTCAGCACGAGTGCCAAAGCATGGCATGCAAAGGCATTTTCCTTGGCACGCACATCTTGGGGCGGATGCTGGGGAAGGGGCTGGGGCTGCACTGCCACAACAAGGATCAGGCCCCTGACAGTTTCCCTACCATCTGCCTCTGGCACACCAACGTCTTACAAGTCAAGGTTGTGGGTGTTTCTAGCACTCTGCCCAAAACCGTTGCAGACCTCTGTCCTATGGGCTGCTCTAGAGGAGGCCACAGGAATCCAATGTATGTCCATGTATGTCATGCATGGAACAGTGGGCACTCCCCTACCCTGCTGTACCAAGTGCAGATGCTCCCCCAACCTATGGTTTTGAGTGCAAGTAGACACCCCACTCCTGCACAGTGCAGTGCTCCACCTTACCTGCGACTCCCCGCCAGCTCCCCCATGGCACTACACTGCATAGCCACTCCAGGATTTTGGCTCCCCAAGCACCTTGTGCTGCAACACCCTGCCCCCTGGGGATAAGTCAGGCAGCACAAGCAAGGGAAAGAGAGGAAACCCCAATCCCCAGAGAGATAGGGGCAGCAGCAGCCAGTTGAGCGCCCAGGGCTGCATACAGCCCATAGGCTGCCAGCTGCACAGCCCTCTCTACATTATAAAAATCCCAATAACATTCAAAATAAACCACGTGACATGTCCACATAGAGGAGTAAAAAGGACATATTTTATCTTAGATGGACCCACACATCCTTGGTCCACATAAGGAAGGCAGATTAGTTGTGTGGGTTTTTTTTACACGTCTCCACCCACAAACAGACAAGTGGAGGAGGCAATTATAGTTCTTTCTTGTTAATTGAGCTGCTAAGCAGAAGCATAGCAGCAAATTACTTATTACTGTGATGGGGCTGACAAAGCAGGAATTGCGATCCCAGTCTTCTTCAAAAGAAACACAATTATGTATAATTCCATACCGTGGGCCACACAATTCATTTCTTCTTAATTTTTTTTCCATTTCAAGAAATAATTAGGTTTGTAACTATGGAAAAATACTCCTTACTCTTTTTGAAGGTCTATACCTAGAGTAAAAGCCTGAGGTGGAATCAATCTAAGATACAGAGTTTTCTGTCAGCAGTGTTGTTTAAATCAGTAACAAACAGAACACACTTCTGCCCTTTGTTGGGGAGGGCAAACCTTAGACGGGGTTCTGTCATTTTTAAACCAGTCCGTGCGTACCAAACTTCTGTTTTGGTACAGCTATAGGCCACTTTTGTGTGCCAAGCTTCTGTTCTGTTACAGGTATAAACTGGTTTCTGATCACTTATATTGGTAAAACTGCAATGTCTGTATGGACCTGGCCTTTAGGTTCCTGATAGATATTATATTTGTCATTCATTATATGTAAACATCATGTAACAATTGTAACATACTAGAGATTAAACCAGTTTATCCCAGTTAAACCATAAAAATGGCAGATCAGCCACAAAACTAGCTCACTGAAACAGCACCTTTTTGTGGCAAGGAAGTATCCTGCAATAATTTTAACGTGACACATTACATTCTGTCACTCAATACTCAGATGTAACACATGACGAATGTAAGATCTGCCAGTGGCCTTCTAGTTCAAGACCCTTATGTAAAACCAAGAAAAGGAAATGCTGATGATT